ATTTCGCACTAAATCCGAAGTGTATTGCCAAGCGATTTTGGATTTAAGACGATCTCGCTCCCACCTATTGTGAATTCCGTAGGTCTGAAATTTATTTGACAGCCGCAGTGTCTGCGGAGAATGGAAAATGTTGAAATGGCAGAATACATTACATTATGGATATAACTCATGGTTTGTTTTTGGCGGGGATCCGACAAACGTTATTGGTATTTAGGGGCATTTATCTATTAGGGGCAATGACTTTTTTTCTTGTGAAATATGTGACGCTAAGCGTTATAAGAATAAGTTGCCGACAGTCCTGTTGTTAGTCACGGTGGGAATTAATTTTGTTTTAACCATGCCCTGACAAGATAACCCTGAAAAACTTAAGGGCTTTTGCTTCAAGTAGTTGATTTAGGTGTCTGGTGGAAAGTTATCTGCAGAGGAATGATAATAAACAACATTTTTAACAGGCTGTCGCGAATGCACTACAAGAATATTGTTTTGTCCTTTTTAGTAAGTTTAATTTTGAGTTCGATTTATTCGTTGATCGATACAAAATATAAATGGTTAAAAAAATTGATAATGTGCAGTTTGTACATGCTGTCGATAAATGGTCACGCACTAAGTTTTACTACAACGTATGGTATCTAAACAATATCGATAAATTTGCCACCAAGCAGTAACGTGCGCATTACCGCGTTCCAGTTTTGAAGGAGGGTGCTGGTGGAATTACAGGCTCATGGGACTTGTCAACTTATGTCTCAACCCTCTCGTCTCACTGAGACATCTCAGGGTGACGGGCACAGTGGGAGCGCCCCTCAGAACTTTGCGATTTAAAGCTCTGAGTAACACTGCAACTGTTATGGACTGGCGTGTTGCTGTCCATCAGGCGCACGACTTGTTCGTCGCGTCATTGGGTATCATAAAAAAACTGAATATAGTCAAACAAAATGTGATATTTTAAAATCTTTTGTAATTACCGTAGCTCGAAGTATACACGTCGAGAAAACAATACATCTGTCAGAAATCCCGAAATGATTAAAAAATAAAAGAATATAATATTTGGAATGTTTTTAATTACAATTGCAAAACTTTTCTTCTAAATATATTATCGTATTAAAGTAATCGCTAGATACACTTCAAATAAATATGAATATAATACAATAATTTAGATACTTATTACCCGATCTATATGTAAGTATCTTTTCAAGTTTCGGTAAATAATGGTTTAAACATAAAAAAAGAACTTTTTGATTTTCACTTGTTTCGGTCTTTACTAAATTCTTTGTATGAGCATGACTTAGATAACCATCAAACAACACGTCTAGAGTTGTGTTTTATAACTTTAGTAACATTTATGAAAAGGGAATTATAAATATATTTGATTTTTTAAATTTTTTTTTATTTATACGTTGCTGCCGCGTGAACTTCTTGGTTAACCCAATATATTGTGCCCATTCCGTTATCTCGTAATTACCGAAGGTCTTAAAATATTAAACCGAAATATTTTTAATCAACTGTAGTGTTTAGTTTAAAATATGAATTTAGGTTTTTTTTTATTGTCGTACTGAAATAATGTCTTTAAAGCCACTAGATAAGGGTATTGTTTTGTGGGCGACATTTTAGTACGTATCTGTCGAAAGAGCTTTTGTTTTTTCATAAATTATCATTCACTAAATACCTACCTAAGATTAGTTAATATTATGATTTGATTTGCAAAAGCTGATTATAAATCACTTTGGTTCCATATATTAAACTTTATTAATTAATTTTCATTAATTTGTAAACAAATAAGACATTTTCTTTCATTAATTCTAACGTATCTATAGTCGCTTGTTAATGGAAGTAGTCAAAGTTAACTAAACCAAAAACACAGATCTGTAACAAACGCATAGAGAAATTCGTGATGTCCGCTGACTGGATATATAGCTCTGTAGGTAGAGCGGTTGCTCTAGATTGGCATTACATCATTATTACATCGTAGCAGTAGAGGTACTTCTGAAAGAGTTCGTCCAGGGAAGTACTGCCACATTACCTATTTTTGACGCCAAGCATTAATTTCACCATTACTGTGTTCCGGTTTTGAAGGTTAAGGGTGCTGGTGAAATTACAGGCACATGGGACTTGTCAACTTATGTCTCAGAGTGACAGGCGCAGTGGCAGTGCCCCTCATATCTTTGCGATTTAAAACTCTGAGTGGCACTGCAATTGTTATGGATAGGCGCCTCACTTGATATTATTAAAAAAACACAGACGCAGGTTCTACTCCTGTCAAATCGAAGGAATTTCTTTGTATTTCGAAACAATGAATCATTGTATTAATAATAATAATATTTTTTTATGATATCAAGTGACGGGACAAAATAGTCGTGTGTCTGGTCGTAAGCGACACGCCTCTTCATAACAGTTGCAGTGCTATTCACAGCTTTACCGATGTAAAGCTGTGAGTAGCTAAAATCTGAGGGGCACTTCCACTGTGCCTGTCACCCTGATACATAAGTTGAAGAATCCCATTTGCCTGTAATTTCAACAGTACCCTTCTTGAAACCCTTCAGAACCGGAACATAGTAACGCTCACATTGCTACCTGGCGGGAGAAATAGGTAAGGTGGCGGTGGTGGTGTTTTGGTTCATTTTTAGCAATCTTTGGCTGTTTAATTTTGATTACAAAAGTCGTTCATAAGAAAGCATATTGTACATTAGAGCTGTTAAAGAGATTAAAACCTTAGTCATCTCCGGCAATGCTACAATATAGCACTTAATACGATATGGGTAAGGGATATAATGTTGGTAAAGGTTTACAAAATCATCGTCGTTCTGTTTATTACCAGTATTTTCATCTTCCATTTATCTCTGTCATACGTGATTTCCTTTTCCATCATATCATCACCCATTCCGTCCATCTTTTTTATCTCACTCTTCTCTTACAGTCAAAGGATAATAAGATATAGGTTAAGGATTACGAAAAACAAAAGAAATCAAATAGCGATATATTTTATTAACTCTTTATTCTTTTGAATTTTTGAAATTAATATTACAATATTGAATGCGGGTTTCATATACAATCACCCAACTATTTGCTTATATACCACGACACAGTCACATTGAAATGTATCGTATGTCACAGATGATCAAAATGTACTGGATGGTCTTTACGCGCAACTTCTATAGGTACATTATAATTTGAAGATATAAGCTTCGGAAACAAAAGAAAATTTACGTAATTGACAACGCGAGTTGGTAAGTGACAATTAGGGAATCTACTTTCGAATCATTCGTTAAACATGTTCTTCGGGAAACGTTAATATAAACACTTACAACATTCAATCATCGTCATCAGTCGATATGTTCCAAAAATCGATTCCCAGACATTTTACCGTTTCAGATAATAGTTTACTTATTTTATTTATCATACAGCTTAATGTCTCCTACAGAAGAACGTGAGTGGACCTCCAATCCTCAAGTTACTTGTAAACACGATACATCTCATTACATAAATACATAACATTAAACAAAAAATAATATAAACAAAAAATAATGCGCCACATAAACTTTCACAACTATTTACAGTTACTTAAATTTAAGACGATTTAGTTGCTATTTTCAAAAATATAGATATAGGTACATACATACATAGTACATAGCTACGTGTAAGGATAAAAATTGATCAAATATTTAACATTAACTAATACGAAAGTCTTGTTACTGATTTTAAAAGATAGAAGGAAATATATTAATGACAGTATAACACAATGGATGGGAAAGTCAACGCTGACTAAGCATAAAACTTTTAAGACGTTTATTCGCGGAAAAATAACTTAAGTTTCAATTTAAAATGCAATTTAAATAGCCTAAAGAAACTCACTAAGTTTGATTTTAGATTTCTAATATAATTTTCCTAAAGTAGATTATTATTCGAAAAGATAAAATTGTTCTAAAAGTCATACGTTTACTCAGCGATGGCCGTAATAAAAATAAATTAAATTAAACATGTAACAAAATGGATGAAACTAAAGGGCGATGATGTATATCAAATTTATAATTGCAATCAAACATAAATACATAAGTCAACATTAGGTATATTACGATACCTAAATACTAAGAAACTAGCAATATGGCAAGACAGCATTACGGATGGAGGACGTATCTATTTAGAAAATGGTTCATTGTTTCTACTGATTTATAACTCTTTACGAGGTAAAAACAATAAAGAAGAACCTGACATAAATCAATGGACGTATATACACACAAACATAATATGTTTAGTGTCATTAGACGTAAAAACTTAAAAGGTAATAATGCTATGCTATACAACATAGGCTTTAGAGTAGCTCCCTGTTGCACAGACCCATTGAACAAAAAAGAAAACAATAAAGAACCAAATCGGGATGAGGAATCAAAACGCAAAATTAACAATTTAGATCGTATACACACTTTTTTAACTACATTCTCCCGTGTGTACTTACGTCCCACCTTAACAAAGCATTAATAAAAATTAAAATAGTAAGTTTCCGGGATTACGATTAAGGACTCTAATCAACTTTACTTTAAGCGTTTTTAATGAAATATACTAACCACTGGGTTAGGTACGCTTAACGTTTATTACGAGTGTCTACGATAATAATAACTATGCATTATAATTTATAAAGCCTACTTAAACCGAAGTTACTTAAGTACATTTTGTTCGATTCTCAATTTCTATAGCTTTAAAATAAGATGGTTTTAAAATCTATTACTAACGACAACCTTAATGTTGTAGGGAAATTACCTACATTAACTATGGGTTTTATGAAATATGACTTATTGCACTCGTGAGGCAAACGCCGATATACATTTGATGCAATAATGTTAAATTAATAATTACTATCGACTTTAACGTCTATGAAATAAGAGCTTGTTCGACATTGTTGATTGTTCTTTAATGACTTTAAAAACTACAATAGACAACAGAAAAACTCACTTGCATATTAACAATGATGCACCTATATCAGGATACAGTTGTACGTAAAATTGTTTTTGTAAATATATAAATGCTAAACGATATAAGACGAAAAATGACACTTATTACTATTTTTAAAATCTTGCTAATGATATCACGACATAAATATTTCTGTAACAATACAGCTACAGTTGTACAATAAATCTGAATAATACAGTGGACAGATGTTGCAAGATGATTTATCAAAAATTAAGCAAAGACTTTCCAATTCAATACAGTTATTTATTTATTACTTCGTTAACTCTACCCTGACATTAATTTACGTATAATGGTGACTAACAAGACTAACTTTTAAATTTCTAACATTTGTTCAGTTATTACGTATTGAAGAAAGAAATTTGTTTAACATTTATAGTTGCAAATTGCGACGCGGTGAATAACGAGGGTCACAGGTGTATTGCTAAATTATTTTTACAATATTTTGGCACAATATGGTTTCAAAAAGAAATATGCCACTATTCAATCCCTTAAACATCGCGTTTGTTCCAAAATGATTGCAGATGATCCAGTAAGCGGAGGATCCAATTGCTAATCGTGACCGAGAATAGTGCGAACGCCTCGCCTTTGTGAATAGCAATCGTTGTGCTTACAAAAATCCTTTTAAGGAATACATTGAACTCTAATATACGTAGATATTATAACTATTTAACGACCTCCTTGATCGAGTGGCTTGCGCACCGATTTTTATGGTGTCACCATCTCTGAGGTCCCTGGTTCGATCCCCGACCGGGACAATGCAGAAACTAACTTTTCTATATTGTCTCGGGTATGAGTGTTTGTGATACCGTTGTTTTTCCGATTTCACAACACAAGTGCTATAGTTACTTCCTTTGGGATCAGAGCAACGTATGTGATGTTGTCTAAAGGTGGGTATCCATTAGGTTCACGCACCAACTGTGCTCCGCGCATCTGCAACACTGCACTCCATTAGTGGATACGTCCGCAGGTAACGTTGATGGCAACGTTTCACGCTCTGCGAAGAGCGCTCCGCAGTTGACGGTTTTTGCGCGAACACAAAACGGAGCGTAGTATGTTAGTGGACGCGAGCAAAGCAACATTCGTGTTCGCTCAACGTTCTAATGAAAACTGTGGAGCAATTGCGGGTACGCGGAGCGGAGTCGATGCGCAAACCGATGGAGCACTTGGTTTTTTTAGTGATGAGCGTAACGTGTCCATTTGAGCGACTACAGATGCGCGGAGCAGAGTTGGCGCGCCAACCTAATGGATACCCACCTTTATGTACCTATATGAGATTTTCTTACATCGCTACTAGAAATGCGTATTGAATGTGAAAAACCAAGCTTTTGTTCACTACTTCTGTATGTTGTTAATCGCATATATTGGTAGGACTCTCAATGTAAAACTATGCAATAACTTGTACTTCAACGAACACGAAAATGATATAATGTAAAAGTAGCGTGTGACCACTGTTTATTCCAGCATACACCGTTTACGAATCTAGACTTAGCAATACTTCATACAAAGTCGAACCTATAATATCTATTTATGATACACTTAAACTACTCAACTTTATATTAAGTGTAAAATTTATATTTAGTCACATTATTGTATTTTTATTATATGTATCATCGTTACGTATATAATTTTGAACTTAGATGACTTGGGAATTTTAATGGACAACGCACCGTATGCAATTCTTATCCATTTATTATTGTTCATATCATTCGAGGTCTGTTCTTGTGATTATCTGGACATGGTATTTCTTTAACTAGAGTTATCAAAAAATACCGCTTAATTTTAATATTAATTTTTAAGTCCTGACTGAAAATATAAAACAAATTTCGTCATGACAAACACCTATTTGCAATTGTACTTCCATACGTATTTTGTTTTTCTTTAAATATACACGTTTTAATCAGTTATGTATTTTTATCATGAACCGAAAACAGTAATACTATCAAAATAAAAGAAAATCAAATCAAACAACAATTTATGAACTTAACTACTGAACTCAATGTGGTCAAAAATATAAAAGTATCTCTTCTGAAATCAACTGACAAAATACAACAAATTGTACAATCATAAAATAATGTGACCTTTCATAACCAGTCCACTAAAAGTGGACAAATAATAAAATATACATCAAAATGTACATAATATAATATCTATTAATTAAAAAAATATAACATAATAGATTAGAGTAAGTGGTAGCAATAAATACTATGAGATTCACAGATTTAAAATCTTAACTAACAATACCGAAATTCACTCAGGTTTCTATGTAAAATCTTATAGCGATTCTAACGCTTTTGTAAAATTTTAGTAAAATATTATTGCAATACAAGGTGTGGTTATGGCAACAAAATAAATGCTTAAAGCACATCACCAGCCTGTCCACCGGGCGAACGACACCGAGGCAAATCCTTCGCACTAAAGGAACATTATACAAAAACAAAGTCACTGCCTCCACAACGAGGCGACACAAAATCCAGCCGCAAAACATAAAAACTAGTGGATACGAAACGACTAACGCTGCCCGCAGGTCCGTATGGACGCAACATTTCCATTCATGTATTCACACTATATGATACAGAATCAGTCAGGATTTCCTATGCGCTGGCCCAAGCGCCTTACGTGGGGACCTTGTTCACTTTAAGAAGGTCGTTGGAGCCTTTGTCGATCGGCATCTTCATGGGGTCGTGATGGTGGGTGACGTGGTGGCCATGATGCTGGCCTTCGAGCTTGGCCTGCTTCTCCTGTTGCTGTTGCTTCATTCTGTCCTGCTCTTCTCTCTCCCTGCGGGCTTGCTCGTTTATCTCCTTCACGGCACGAAGTTCTTTCTTTAATTTCATGCGCCGGTTCTGGAACCATATCTTGATTTGCCTTTCTGTGAGGCACAGCGCATGTGCAATCTCTATCCTGCGTCGGCGCGTCAGATAGTGGTTGAAGTGGAATTCCTTTTCTAGCTCTAGTGTTTGGAACCTCGTGTAAGTCTGCCGTCCCCGCCGTCGTGGACATCCATTTGGCCCTGGAAAGAAAAGACAATAATGTAATTATTGCTATAATTATTTGCTAAAAGACACTGTTTAAATGATCAAAAAATATTTCAATTATTTCAAAGAACACGATAAAACAAATTTTAACAATAAATGATAATTGTCAAAACATGTAACTATATTAAAGTAATAATAGGGATTTAACATCGATTTATTACTCTATAAATCTCGAACTTGCATCTCACGCTTCGAATTTGCAGCGAAAAAGGCATCGAGCAACAGCATTAAATTTCACTTTTATGTCGTCTTAGATTTTAATGGCTCATTAATATTTTATTACAGCTATAAAGTTAATTTTAGAGTCATCCGCTACTGAGGCCAACCTCAATGCAGATTAATTGCCTTAAGAGAAGTAGAATAGAATTTGCAACATGCCATATTTGGAGACGTCAAGGATAAGTAAATTTTGATATGGATAACCGTAATAATAAGTAAATATAGTATCTTTAAAATAAAAAAGTAACGGAAAGGGTTGACGGCATAGGGTTCGCAAAACAATAGCATTCTTTCTAAAAACGAATCGCCACAAAAACTCAGGGATGCGTAAAGAAGGGTTGTGCAACTTTCTAATTCTTTGTAAGGTGTATCTTTATTGCGTTCCTTTTGACTACGTTTTCTAAGAAATTGTGAAAGTTTACCCTTAAATCCAATGCTATATATGTCAAAAACGTTTTATCGCTCCATTTAACCCTTATGGTATGTGCATATCGATTCTCACGTACCAAAACACATTATAAATGTTATACATACTTGGTTATATACGGAGCTCTACAAAGCGATCGGGTCTTGGAACTGGTTTTCGAGTCAGACAATAAATAAGGTAAGATAAATGGCCTTCCCATCGCGTATAAAATTGATAGCGGACCAACGGCGTGGCTCGGAATGCCCTGCCTACACGGCAGAGCTTCAGTTACCTGACACTCTGACTTTAAAAAGTATAGATACGACTAATGGATTTATTTAAAAAATCACATTCTACATTTTTGGATTTAAATAACTCCATGTGATTAAAATTTGCGGTATTATAAATTTTGTGTAGAATTTAAGACTAACAAAAGAATGTAAAATAATACACGATTAGGCATACAAACCTACTGACTAGGTGTAACAAGGCTTTCTTAATATAAATATCACATACACACGTGGATCTAACGAGTCAATAAATTAATCGCGGTGATAGTGGTCTAGTTCAATTTTAATAATAATAAAATAATAAAATAGGCATTCGGGTCACACAAAATTGGTGAAAAGATAATAAACTTAAAAAATGCAAATAGTAAAATTTAGAGGTTATGTTTGATTAAACTAAGTGTCACATGACTTTTATTTTAACAAATATTACATGGGCTTACACACATGGATCTAATAAGTAAGTCATTAAGTTAATCGCGTTGATAGAGGTCTAGGTCAATTTCAATAATAATAAAAAAGTAAAATAGGCACATAAAATCGATGAAAATTATTATGTGAAAAAAAATACAAATACTAAACTTTTACAAATACTATTCATAATTAATTATACGCTAATAGAAGTTAAAATAACTTATATGAATGATAGAAAAATATTCTACCAAAATATTTAAAGGTCAATGAAGGACCGCAGACAAGCAAAAAATATAATTGAATTCAAGTTTCTGTTTCGTAAACATGCTTGTACAATACCTTCAATTAAAATGTAAATTGCTTAATGAACGTTAGCCACAATTAATTTAAAGTAATGTTTGATTAAAATACATTTTCATTATTCGAGTACAATTAGAGTAAAAGTAAATCGGTTCAAAATTATGCATAAATTTACAAAAGACATCATGATTTCAGTTGGTTATAAATTTTGTAATGAGGAAACTGTGCAGTCGTTTGCATTGCATTAACATTATAAATTTCCTATAAAATGCTGTGGATAATCTTTTTGGTGTTTTTTTTATATTTTGCTTATTAACATTTTGTCAACATTCAAAATTCAAACTATTTTTATTATTTCGATCTATATTTACTAAAGAAGATTAAATTTCTACGTGAATACATTCTACAGCAGGAGATACATTAGTATTAAAATTAACATTTTCAATTTCGACACTGATTAAAATATTTGTAATAATATTATTTATCATGACCTTGTTACACTTACAAGACGATGAAGTTTTTAAATTTAGAGCAAATTACGGATGCTAGTTAAGCCTTCAAAGTACATTTACATAAATATTTCTCACTTCTCATAAAAAATGCAACAGGGAATAAATCATGGGACCCGCCCGAAAGTCGGATACCACATTTTATATGAAGAATAAATTACCAAAACGGCTTTTTTACTGCCATACTAACATTTACGGCCCATGCTTATTTCAACAAAAACTTAAAAACTGTTTAAAATGTCGTAAATAGACAATGGAATAATTATACAAGTGCGGTTAGAAGAGCACGTAAAGATAACTTTTATGGATATGAAGAGGATGGATATATCATTCTAATTTTAAAAAGCAAAGATGGAACCCAAAACACAATGCACGCATCCCGATAATACTATTGAAAAGAAAGGTCGAAAGTGAGATATATTGCTGCGCAAAAGAGACCCTTATGGTTAATAAAGTAGAATTTGGAGTTGTTTGTGATGGGGGGTTTAGTTAGACTTGTTTTTTTGTTGGAGTCGGTGATATGTAAGCAAGGTAGGTTGGCCACCCTTCGCATGGTTGCCATGACAACGTACGTTAAAGCACCTCCCGTCAGCTGGCTTCCATTATTCTCCACAGTATTGTTGTCATGGGGAGGTTTGTCTGACGTTGTATTGTGTACCTGTAAGAGGATGGCTTATAATGGGAACGGATGAGTATTTCCCATGATGAGATTGGGATCAGATTTAATTCTACTAAAGATCATTTACATTGTTTTTTGGCCTCTAGATGTTCTTTTGCACATGAAACATCGTATATGGTTTAATTTGTTTTTCAACGTAGGTAGAAACCTTAATGCCAAAAAAAGGAACGTCCTAAAATATATGTATAAATCTCAGAGAATAAACGAAAAAGTATGTTAATATATTCAAGAGTCACGTTATTAATTAGATTCTTACACCGTGAACACGGATTGAGGGGACCATAAACATACAGTGACAAGACCTCGCTCTTACGGCTTCGCTTTTTTCTCCGAAATAAATCTCACAGACTTATTTATTATTTTATTTTAACTTTGTACAAGTCCGCCTTTATACAAACCTGTTTCAGGTTGTTTGATTAATACTCGCCCGCCTGGACCAGGATAAGGGTCTGATTGTGAATTATATGGAATTTTTGTACGTAAGAAGGTTATTTATGGCGCGAGTAAGCTGGGGTCGGTCGAGATTTGTGGTCGAACAAGCTAGTCCTAGCCGAGAAAATGTATTCTATTATTGTGTTCACACAACGTCTTGTGAGAACTAAAGCTTCACACAATTGAGTACTACAAATCTAATCAAATTAAAGAGCACATCGCACAAATACTTCTATTTGTTCCAATGGGCCATATTCCAATTGCTTCAATTGTCGTGTGACATTGATTTAGGTCGACAATAGAGTATCCTAGTAAAGTATGTAACAAGTTATAAAAGAAATCGATTGCATTATCTATTAGGCTTATATCAATTAAATGAACATTAAAAGGGCTTAAGGGCGTATAAACGCTTGTCGGCGATACCACGCTTTATAGCATCGTAACTCGCGAATTGTCGTAAAGTATCGGGTGAAGTCGGGACGCCATCTTAAAATAGTTCGTGTTCGAAATTTTAAAGCGACTTGTCAAAGGTAGGATTGTTTTCCGATCATGTTTGACGTTTCCTACAGTTTTCATGTGCTGTTTCCGCAAGTTTTACGGGTTCGAAGATACTTTATTGGCACAGATTTTAGAGCATTCCCAAGCGACAACTAACAAAAGAATTTACGTCATCTTGACAACAAATTTTAACTAGACAGAGAACAGTACCTACTAATGTTCAATACGGTTGATAGAAAATACAGGTACAGAATGGGTTCCAAAAAATTATATATATTTAACTAAGGAACTATATATATTAAACTACGTATAAAATACCATAGTATTTTGTACTTAATTTATTTACTATAAATTTATAAGGGTATTTTACATTTCAGCAATTGATGATGTAGCGATATATGTCAACAGACGTCATAGTCATAAATATGTACGAACAACGTCACGTTTCGCTTTACAAATTTAGATCTATACCTACCACTTAGGATAAGACGGTCTAATTTTAGAATATATAATTATAACTTTTGTATTTAAAAAAATCGACCTCAAAACTCCGTGGAATTTCATTCATTTGTGTAGTTTTATTGAAATCGGTTACCGGAAAGTGCGTGAAACCAGATTCATTCTCTAGTGTGCCACCATTAGAGGTGGAATATTTTCTTCAAATTTAAATGGGACCCCTACTGAGATAGGTACCCTGTTTCGAACAAAAACAGAATCATCAAAATCGGTTCACAAAAGAGAAATCGCTTACAAACATACAAACAAGAAATACGTCGAATTGAGAACCTCCTCCTTTTTTGAAGTCAGTTGAAAACGTAGCATGCAATAGCATATAACATATAACATGTAGCCGTCAATACGGTAGATAGAAATACTTATAATCAATAAATATAAATAAATATAGTGTGTGAGCAACACCTAAATGGATTTAAAAACTGCGAGGCTATGGAATAATAGGTACGCTTTTTAACGGGTCGATTACGTCGATATCATGTACAATTTTGAAGCATTTGCCCGTGGATTAATTAATTCGAAACGCGAACCTACAGCGCACCATCGTCTAATTATGATGAAGCACGCATAACTATTCATAGACAAAATGTTTTTCAATGTTATTAAAATTGCATCGATCTATTTTTTTTATTCATGTAGGTTAACACAAAAGTATACCTTTTTAAACATTTTCTGATAAAATTAAAAGGAAAGCCAGACTTTAAATCAATAATATAAC